CCTTCGAGTTTGGGAAAATGTTTGAGCCTACTCGAAAAGCCTCTAAGTCAAGGGAAAAAAAAAACCATTTGAGCCTACCTCTCTTAAAAAGCCCTTAAGTTGATGACATCCATTCGAGTATCTCACTTTCTTTGAGCCAAAATTAGACATCCGTCTTTCCAAAAAAGGATTCCTTTCCAAGCCTTTAATGTGATCCGAATACATTTCACTCACTAAGTCTAAAGAAGATCAACTTGAGAATTGCATCATGACATTTGCATGATGTGATTTAACTTTTGAACAAATGAATAAAATCTTTTCTTGAATATGATTACATTCTTATAAACATCTCTCCGATTTCTTTTAAATAATTAAACGTATTTTGATAAAAATTATTTGAATATAGGGCATAATTTATGAAATTCAAAACAACTATAAGTTAAGTTTCTAAAAAAGGAAATCAAAATCGAATCAAATCGACTTTATTTTTATCTAGAGCAACAAAGAATCTTAGTCATGGCCAAAATTCATTAAGGCAATCATTTCAACTTTGCTGGTCTTATTCTTACTTTGCCCAATGTAACATGATTTGCCCTATTTATTTTTCAAAATAACCTTATTTTCACATATATGATCAGTCTTTACAAAGCCTTTTCTTTGATCCTGTGATTAACATCATTTGTAAAACATAATGATGTAAAAATCAATAAGGGATAACTTGATAAGAGTTTGCTTAGACTTTGTAGACAAGAAGGCTTTCTTTGTAAAACTTGGCAAAATATCCTTCACGATGGGTTAAGGATGACAATGATGAAAATTATTTCAATGATTTTTTGGTTAAGTTTCTTGATATGTGCTGATAAACATCAAACACTTGGGGCATTAGTCCCGAGAGAATGAAAGAACAAGTAAGTGCTTGCCTAACCATAAGAGCAAAGGCCATTCGACAACATGGACGATAGCACTGATCGAAATTTTAAAAGGGACGTGATTAGAAGACATGTGATTAAGTAGATGAAAGTAAACAAGAGCGGCTAGCCTAAAATCTCAAGGCTATTCAAATGATGATGACTTGTAAATGAAGAGAAGAGGGAGAAGTTTATGTTTTGGCGGTGAGAGTTTATGTTTCTTTGATGACAATTAGGTATGTCGTTTACATCCTCATTCAATGCTAAGGGAAGGTCACCTTTTTGACCTCGAGAATGGTTACCCAAATTAACTAATTGCTAAGGGAAGGTCACCTTCTTGACTTTAGGGATGGTTACCCATATTAACCTATGTTTAGAGGAAAGCCCTCCACAACCGATGAGTGATTTAAGGACGACCGACCATCATTTGACCTTATCGATTGATTTATTTTATTATCGTTCTTTTATGATTTTTTTTAGAAGCTTACTATGCAAAGCCAAAGAAAAGTTAGTTTTTCAATGGCTCGCATCATAAGAATTGTAAAGAAAGAGTAATTGTTAGCACCCAATTATTTTTCAAAAAAATCTAAAAAAATAAAAGAAGAGAAAAGGGAGAAAAAAGATACAATTGGCGGATACAATTAAAAAAGGGAGGAGAAAAAGACCAAAATAAAGCGAGGTTTGTGAGATGATGGACCACACCAAATCTTAGCCAAAAAACCCAATATAAAAGCTCTCTTTTTCTTCAAAAATTTAGGCACTTTCTCCCTTTAAAAACCAACAACCACTTTCTCTCACCAAACCAAAATCCAATCAGCCTTTTCTCCTTCTCAAAATTTTTGGTCAACTCTCCCTCGCTCCTCCAACCGTCAATCATGCCATCCCTAGCCACATAATTCTCCTCCAATCGACCAACAATTACGACGGCTCCCGTACTCGAAGCCGTTGCCCATTCCGGATCAATCATCGGCCACACCATCATTATCAAGCTCCGGTAGCCTCTCCCCATGTCGTCCTCCTCCATAAACTAGCAGACGAATCATATTGTCCAACCTCCATAGACGCCCACGAACGTGCCTACTAGTCACTATTATCCGACCATGTCGTAGTTCTAGATTTGATGGCCTCGATGCTCGATCAACAACCTCCCGAACTCTAATCCAGCGACTACCACTAGTCGTGATAGCCCCACCTCTAACAGTTTAATCTGCTTCTTCTAACCCGATCCAACACCTCTAGTAGCTCCACCATAGCTAGTAGTCGCTCCAAATCCGAGTATGGTCCGACATCATTGAATCAAACAACAACTACTCTCGGTCATCTTTCCTCCCCTATTGACTTAATTTTAGTCTCCATCATGGTTGAAAAAAGTTGAAATTGACCTTAATTCAATAGTCCAATCCATCCTTTTTTTTACAATAATTTATTTTACCTTTCACTTTATTTTAATATGTATTAAATTTAATTTGTATCGATGTATTTGTAATTGTTTAAATTATTGTATTGCGTAATTTGATTAAAACTACTACTTGTATTAAATTATTGTTGTTCATGTGATTCAATTAAACCATTATTGCATTGATATTTGATTGATGTTCTTGCTTGGTGATATGGGAATCGTTTGTTATGGCTTGTATAACTTTCAAGACTTGTTGGGTCAAATCTCATTTTTTGACCACTTTTGATCAATCACAACGATTAATTAATATTGTGTCGATTTTTGCCTTAAAAAAATGATTATTGGACCGTTGTTACAATTTGTGATGATTAGGTTATAATTTGTGATGAATAGGTTCGGGCCAATTTCGTTCAAAAAACATGATGTTTGAGTCGTATCAATTCGAATCTAGTTATTGGTTCATTTTTGTTAATTTCAACGATTTTGTCAATTTCGCTTGAAAATTACAACTTTTTAAAATCCTATTAGTCTTAATCTCGTTTTCGGATCATTTTTGTCAACTTTAATGATTTTTGTCAATTTTGTAATTTTTGTCAAATTTGCCATTTTTGTAGCTTTTGCTAATTTTACTGATTTTGTCTAATTGTCAATTTTTGCCGATTATGCCTATTTGTCGATTTTGCCAAATTATCGATTTTGTCAATTTATCCATTTTTCCTAATCGTCGGTTTTACCAATTTGTCAATTTTTGTCAATTTATCTATTTTGACTATTTTGCCTAGTTGTGTATTTGTCGATTTTGCCGGTTTGCTTATCTTGCCAATTTTCTTATTTTGCATATTTTTCGGTTTTGTCAATTTGCCTATCTTGTCAATTTTGCCTAATTGCATATTTGTCTATCTTGCCAATTTACCTATTTTTCTATCTTACCAATTTACCTATTTTGCTTACTTGTCTATTTGCCAAATTTGTCCATTTACCTATCTTGCCAATTTTCCTATTTTAACTAATTGCTTATTTGTCGATTTTGTCAATTTGCTGATTTTGCTCATTTTGCCTAATTGTCTCGTTTGTCAATTTTGTCAATTTGTCGATTTTGCCTATTTTGCCTAATTGCTTACTTGCTTGTTCGTCGATTTTGCCAATTTTGCCAATTTTTCCTTTTTGTCTATTTATTGATTTTGCCTATTTGATAATTTTTCTAATTTATTGATTTTGCCATTATTTGCTTGTTTACTCATTTTTGCCAATTTTGCATATTTTTGTCTAATTACCCATTTGTCGGTTTTCCCAATTTGCTTGTTTTGTTTGTTTGCTTATTTGCTTATTTTTAAGTTTTGTTTTCATGCACTGCTGTTTAAATTTCATTAAAAACATATCCTTGCATTCATCATTTCTTTAGCTTTTCATTATATAGTGAGGATAAGGTCTCCGATTGGTCAAGTCCCAAATCACTCGGCTAGTAGGCAAATGTTCAAAAATAAGTACGATTTTCATCATAAAAAAATCGGAAATCAAATCAATGTTATATGCAATGCGACTTGCCTTAGGTATAACGAGATAATGTGATTTTTAATATTCCCCACACGTAATAAATCCCTTATCCGGAACTTTGAATAGACTAGTTATAGAGTTTCCTAGTAACCATAATACTAGGTGGTGACTCAAATCATTTTTGCCCATTTTCCCTATCTACGCCCATAATTGTTGCCCTCGCCCTCAACGTCGCCGTATGACGGATAATTTGACTTCAATGACAGTTTTAGACCACACTTCCATATCAATTAATAAAAATAACAATAATAAATATAATAGGATAATACTTATCATAAACTTGGATCAAGTAGAAATCGGTTGGCATATCTCAATTATGTTGTTGTCTAGATATAATAAAGATGTGATTACCCAAATGCTTTTTATGGATATAAATTTAATTCTTACTTGCTTCTCTATTTTAAGGATATATACTAAACTTATGCTTTTCTAATTTAAGCTAAATAAAGATTTTCTTTCTTTCTATATATATTAAAGAAAAGAAAAAAATTTATTTTAATTGAGTAAGTAATAATATTTATTCCGTAAAAAAGAAATAAAGAGAGAGAAATACGAAAGAAAGAATAAAATAATAAATAAATATAGGTGAAAATATATTTATCATTCTTTGTAGGTCCGGATGTGATTTTTTCTTTCTATTTTTTTGTCTATATGTCTCCTATAGTGGATGAGTGAAGCAAATATTATTAATTGCTTCTTGAATATTTTTTTATAAATAATATCCTAAGTTATTACCATATATAGAGAATAAAAAATTATTGAGATAAGATCAAAGTTTTTCATATTTATCGGCAAGATATCTCGTCATTGAAGTTGATCTAGTTAGTGGTGTAAAGAGAAATTTTATATTATTTTTGAAGTAACTATCAATACTTAGTTCATAAAATAGAGATAGACAAAAAAAAAAAAATAAAAAAATAAAAAATAAAAATTGAACCTTTATGGAAAATTTTTTATTATTTTTGGTAATTCAAGATATGTTTTTCTTTTTTCTTTTTATGCATATTTCTTTTCTCACAGGTAGAGATTTTAAAATCTCTTCTATAAAAGAGAATTAGAAGTGAATATTTCAAAATAAGAAAATCTCTTTTAGAGGTTGAGATATACGTTTGTTTCTTCCATAGATCACAACATAAGCGTTTCTTTTATCTAGAAAAACAATGGACGTTGAAGAAGTGCATGTTCTAGTGTTGACATTGGCATGGCAAGGCCATATGAACCCTATGCTCAATCTTTCCAAACGTCTTGCATCGAAGGGTATTCATGTTACTTTTGCCACTACTGAGGTTGCCAGTCATCTCATACAAAAATCCAACATCCGTGTCCCCTTTACCACCTCCCAAAGCGCCAAAGCTAGAAGCCCACAAATCAGTCTCGAGTTCTTCTCCGATGGTCTCGATCTAGAATTTGATCGCGTGAAGAATTTTGACTCTTATCTTGAATCCCTGGAGACAACAGGATACAAAACTATCTCCAATCTGATAAAAAAATTCACAAACAATGGTAAGAAATTTTCTTGCATTATTAGCAATCCTTTTATGCCATGGGTGCCAAAAATTGCTACTGAAAATGACATTCCTTGTGCAATACTTTGGATCCAAGCTTGCACTATCTACTCTATTTACTATCACTATTTTAAGAATCCTAACTCATTTCCTACACTAATAGACCCATATGAGTTTATAGAATTGCCTGGAATTCCAACTTTACAGGTAAAGGATCTTCCTTCTTTTATTCTCCCTTCATGTTCTCCAACCATCCAAAAACTAGTTTCAAATTTCATCCAAAACTTGGATCAGGTCAAATGGGTTTTGGGAAATTCCTTCAATGAGCTTGAGGAGGAAGTTGTTAAGTCTATTGCTTCACTCCATCCAATTTGTCCAATTGGTCCTTTGGTTTCGTCTTTACTGCTAGGACAAGAAGAAAGCATTAATGGTAGTGTTGATATGTGGATTCCTGAATATTCATGCATTGAGTGGTTAGACAAAAAACCACCTTCATCTGTCATCTACATTTCCTTTGGTAGTGTATTATCATATTCACAAAAGCAAATTGACAACATAGCCATGGGATTGAAGAATAGCAATCGACCATTTCTTTGGGTGATTAAACCTCCGCAAAAAGGTCTAGAAAATAAAATTGGTGATTTGCCATATGATTTTCTAAAGGAGACCGAAGGAAGAGGTTTAGTAGTGACATGGTGCCCTCAAGAAAAGGTGCTCATGCACCAAGCTGTGGCTTGCTTTATTACTCATTGTGGGTGGAACTCGACACTAGAGACAGTGGTTGCTGGGGTTCCTATAATTGCTTATCCAGATTGGACAGATCAACCAACAGTTGCAAAACTTGTAACTAGTATCTTTAATATAGGTGTGAGGTTGGAAGTTGAGAATGGAGTTGCAAGTTCAGAAGAGATAGAAAAATGCATTGTGGAGGTCACTAATGGACCGGAAGCAGCTAAGATAAAGAAAAGGGCTTTGGAGTTGAAGGAGGCGGCGAAGAAAGCAGTTGCAGAAGGTGGCTCTTCTGATGAAAATATAGATCAGTTTATCAGGGAGTTTGTTGGAAAATAATGATAGGATGTCTTCATACTTTGAATAATGAGTCATTATGCTTATTGTTGTGTGGGCTTCATAGAAGTGCAATGTGTTTGGGTACATTTTAGTCACATATGTAAAAAATGTGGATTCTTTTACTCGTTTACCTATATTTTCGTTATTTTTTTCTTAATTCCAACAAAACAGTAATGTAATTTTACATGTTTTGTTTAGGTTCATGTTATATTAATAAAGTAATGCCCATCTAAAGATATCATCTTTCAATAAAATTGTCAATGACTTTTATTCAAAGACTTTATTGTCTTTGAATAAAAGTCGCTAATTATGACTTTTAATAAAGTAATTCCCATGTTTTGTAATTTTACATGTTTTGTTTAGGTCCCTTAAGCAAAATTTATTAATTCCATCAATGACTTTTATTTCATTTTTACTAGCATACTAATAATAATTAACTATCATAATTAGCGAGACTAATAAGCATTAGCTTTTAGAATTAAATGCAGTAAAATTTATTAATAATTGTTAACATACTTTTTATTACAAATAAAAGCATAATAGTTTTACAATAGCTTAAAAGAAAAAAATCGAAACCAAAACACCTTTAAAATAAATAAATAAATAAATAAAATAGCCAAAAAAAAAAAAACAAAATTCATATATGATAAGGTTTATTTTTTTTTCCTTATCAATTTGGATATATATATATATATATATTTTTGCTTGTTTTTGGCTCGGTTTGAGATAGAGAAAAAAGAGAGAAAGTAAGGAAAGAACTAAGGAGGTAAGTGAGGTGGTATTTGGTCTCTAACAAGGGTTAGAAACAAACGAGGCCCAAAACAGGTACGAAAAAAAAAAAGAAAAAAAGAAAAGAAAAAAAGAAATGGACCCAAAACAAGCAGAATCGTAAGAGATAAAGAAAGAATAAGGTGAATAAGGAGAAATTTTATAATACATAAGGAATAACTTGTGACATGTATAGTAGTTGCTCTATAGATTCATTTTGAAGAGAGAAGTATTAAATTACATCCAAACCTACCAAAAGTGAATAGAAGATTTTCATATTTGCTCAATTTTTTTTTTTTAATTTTCTTTCTCCTATTTCTCACTTTTTTTTTTTTTTTGGGTCTATCTCTCTTCAATGTGGGTCTTTAGAGTAATTACTATATATATAACTAGTTACTCTTTGTGTATTATAAAATTTCTCTTAAATAAGTGCTAGGTTTGACCAAAATACGTCATTTCAACCAAGCCTAACTCTTTTTTGGCAAAATTTCCCTTCAAAATGATGTCTTCCACCTTATTGTTCTCTTCTTTAATTACATCCTTGCCTCTCTCAATTTCTTTCTTTTTCTTTTTTCTTTTTCAATCCTCTTTCTTTGACATTGTGTTCGATTTTCAATTATTATCATCTATTTTTTTAGTATTTTTTTTTATTCTGCTACTTTTTTGTTGATATTTTTTTACTCTCCCTTCTTATGTTTCTTTCTATATTTTCTTCTTTTTTTTTTCCCTTTTCACAACTCTTAAAAACTCAAAGAAATACCAACATGAAAAATTACCAAATTATCTAAAAATTATGGATTTCTTGAGATAGCCATGGTCGTCCTCCCAAACTTCCCGAACCCCACGAGTTTTATTGAATGAATGTTTCTTCTTTTTTCTTCTTATTGTTTAGAAAAATTATAGAAAGTTAAAATGAGGTGCTAATGTTGAAAACAAAAACCAATAAAAGTGAGAAGATAAGGATGCCCTCGCTTATTCATAAACATAAGAGCGCAAAGATTTCACATTGAATACCTAAGAGGTCAAGTCTAGTAGGCAAGCCTAATATGAAATTAACTAATCTTGAATTGCAACTAGTCTTACGTACTAATTAAGGTGGAAGTCGTTTGTTGAATATGGGAGGCTCCAAAAGGCATAGTTTCCTCGATTCCTTTAAGCGCTTTCATTCACAAGTGTTTATTTTCTCCATATGGCTACACATCTATCAAAGTTACGGGTAATAAATGAGTCTTCCAAATACCAACTAAGGTCAAATCTAATAAGACAAAAAGTATGAATTTCTAACTATCTAGGATATCGCTAAATGCTCTTAGCGAGATCCCGAATGTAAATCAACTCTATGCCAAGTACACTTTCTAAAAACTCAAAGAGGGTTATTAATATACCTTTGTGATCATAACCATGACATATATCATCAAGCTCTACTTAAAGACAATCTAGCTAAGAACTCGCCCTAAATAAAATGATCCCAACTTTTAACTGTCATAGCTAGGCAAGGTCTATGAAATCAATATATAAAGACGACCCAAGTAAAGAAGATGAATTTATACACTTTTGGTGGACAAAATGGGTACTCATTTAATGAATGTGTGGCTTCCTAGATTATCCATGTTACTCATCACCAATTAGGACTGAAAATGTTCCATCAAACAATGAACATTGCCTAAAAAGGTCCTAAACTATTGAGTGGATGTCAAGGACTATTGAATTTCAAGATAAAGACCGTTCAACGCCCACCTCATACAAGTTGATCATCACCTTCATTTATATAAAGGTTAATAAGCTAAAGGTTATACTTTCTAACTTTTATGATCAAATTAACTATATTATGAACTCATCACATACCTATTCTCGGGCTAAACACCTCTTTTCATAAGCAAACTTAACCATTATAGGATTTTTCAACCACTAGAAGAAGACGTGTATGATAGATACTTGACATCAAATCAACATCCTTACATTAGAACCACAACATGACTAGCTTGAGTTGAAAACCAGTTCATCAATAATCACACTCTAAGGATCACGCATCATCAATTACTAGTCCAATTAGTGAAATTTTCATAGTATTATATTAAAAAAAGAGTAAATATAATGATGGTCAATCATAAATTATTTGAAATAATCGAAAGTGGGACTATTCCAAAATTTAAATAAAGCCTTCACTCTAAATTCGAATAACATATGAATGGAACAAATATAACTTATCAAATAAACAATTGAATGGTAGTAAATAATTTATTTCTTTATTTAACCAATTAAGATGAAAAAAGTATAAATGATATGCCATTTTAAAGTATCTAAGAGAAAATAAATATCACTTATTCGTAACCAAAATAGAAATTAGTTTTTTAATATTTTCATATGTTGGTATGAACTTAAGTAAGGACATGATAAGTTTAGTAATATTTTATATAAGCTATTTAAATAAAAAAAATTACATTGATATATGATGTTAAACATATTTAAAAGAATTTTTTTTTTTTTAATTTTGTCTTTGAGCCCAATTTTGAAAACGAAACTTCATCCTCTTCAAATGTAATTAAAATTTTAAGTAGATAACTCATATAGTATTCAAAATAATTTGGGACAATTACTAGAAAAATCCTCTAAAAAAATCTTATATCCAAGTAACCCATAAATTTATTTTTAAATCTCTCATATCCAGAATAATATTTTTCTTATCAAAACACTCAATAGTTAACCTTCAATTTAACATTAGTTAATTATTGGGTCTTTTGGTAAGATAATTTTTTTATTCTTAGTTTTGAGAGATTTAAAAAATAAATTGATGGATTTTTTAGATATAAAATTTTTAAACACTAGCATTCGACTCGTTTATTTTTACTATACTAAAAAATTCATTATATTAGAGTTTTTTTTTTCTATCAATCATTTGTTTCATTAATTATGAGATTAATTTTTATTATCTAGTAACTATATCAATCGATGCAATTTAACTAATTAACATTAATGAAATGAGACTCTTGTTATTCTATTGTAATTTAATCAAAAGGTTATCATACAAATAAGAAAAATAAGAATATGTATGATTATGAACATTAGTGATTTCTTAAATCTTAATACATTGATGAAAAAAAAAGTATCATCGGTAATATTACTTTTTAATTAATCAAAACTCAACATTTTTTATCAAATAATTAAATTAAATTACAAGATGAATGTATAACATTGTTTGTTGCATTAATTAAATAAAACATGATCATCCATAATAGAAATACATATCTTGAAAAATAATGATTTCATTTAAATTAGGGATAATTACCAAAATACCTTCTAAAAACTCTTCTATCTAAAAAATTTACTATTTTATTTTTAAATATCCCAAACACAAAATAATATTTTTAAATCTCACAAGCCTAAAATAATATTTTTCCTACCAAAACAACCAATAGTTAACATAAATATTATGTTAACTATTGGTTGTTTTGGTAGGAAAAATATTATTTTGGGTTTAGGAGATTTAAAAATAAATTTGTGGGTTTTTTAGATATATGATTTTTTTTATAAGGTTTTTTTGATAATTATCCCAAATAATTTTTCATTGCTGAAAATAAATATAGATCTAACATTTAATGGTAAATTTTAATTTGTTTTCTTAAGATTTGAGAAGTTTCTCAATTTCTCCTCGAAGATTTTATTTGTATGATCATTTAATCCCTATAATTTTCATCACACTATTAATTATTTTCATCTATCTATTAAAATTTGATGAAAATTCAAGAGAGTAATTAGTACAAAAAATCTTAATATAGCAATTGAGAAACACCTCGGATCTTGAATGTACAAATTAAACATTATCTAAAACTTAAATATTTTAGTAAAAATTTTATAAAAGTTATAAATTCTACATTTGAGCCATTTAGATGTAATTATAAATTTAGATAAGTACATATTATTATTATTGTTATTATTATTGTGAATTTATGTTGGCAAATGGTAGAAACCTTTATATTGTCTACAAAATAAAATTGGTTTAAAAAAATGGATAATACCTCGAAGGGGAGCCATAATTTGTCGGTGATTTTTGTAATCAAGCCTAGTGCCCATACCAAGATTCGCGTATCATTAATCCACATCCTATTACTCGGGGGACTCCTCCATCTTTTCGACGAATGTATCTTACATGTAGCTACAAGCTAGACATACTTCATGTAAGGTGAAGAACACGGATCGATGGCTATGCTTTCATTAGAGCTTATTACTAAGGT